GAGAGAGAGAGAGAGGGTTCAGGGTTCAGGCTTTAAGGTCCAGATGTTCTGGTTTTGCCTACGGTTTCGGGAATCTTACACAATCTCCTACCCTAATTTTCAACATCCATTCCAACCACCTAGTATCACGTGGGCATTCCCTGTAAGAGATCTTTATAATTGGGAATATAATGAATATGAGGGGATCTTCAGTGTTGGCGGAGGGATTTCTTGTGAACAACTTTAGAAAGCCACCGTGAAAGAACCAAACCCCAAACCCTACACCCCAGACCCTTGATGTCCTCGCCCAGGGATGTGCAAGCTGTCGTGGACGCAGCTGGCTACATTTGAGCTGTAGTATCAACTCCTGAAGGGGGTCATATAAGGGATGATTTAGGGGAGTACCCTCGGGGTTATCAAGGGGGATAAGTATAGCTCATTTAGCACAAAGGAAGTTTCGTCTTGAGAGATCGTTTTGGGATTTTCCCTGACACCTCTTTGACATGGGATGTAGCGATTTGGAGGTTGCGGATTCATTGCAGATGGATCTGCAATCAGCCTGGAAATGCTCGGAAGAAGCTGCATGAAAACATGGGGTCTCTTCGACTTGTGGTTCCTGTTTTGAGGGTCCCGTACTTGGATCCTCGTTGGCTATCTTCTGCATGTACATGGGCTTACTAGAGTCTTATTATAGGGAACCCCAAAATGGTACGCCTAATTTTGCGAAACCCCCATATGAGCCTAACGGGCCTAACGAACTCTGATCCAAATCACCCTAAACCCCAAGCCTTAGAGCGAAAACCCGAAACCCTAAAGCCCAAACCCTAAACCCTAAACCCTAAGCCCTTCAGGCAACGGAAGATCTGGAGAAGTTCTGCATGTTGCATGCCATGGCGGATGAGACGCTGCTGCAGATGGCCCGGCCAAAGGGGACCAAGGATCCCCGAGGCTTAGGGGCTTCGGTGTTTAGGGGCTTAGGGGTTTAGGGGCTTAGGGTTTTAGCGGCTTAGGGGCTTGGGGTTTAGGGGTTTAGGGGTTTAGGGGTTTAGGGGCTTAGGGTTTTGGGGGCTTAGAGGTTAAGGGTTTAGGGTTTAGGGGCTTCGGTGTTTAGGGGTTTAGGGTTTAGGGTGTAGGGTTTACAGTTTAGGGTCTAGGGGTTAGGGTTTAGGGGTTATAATCTAAAGTTCTTAAAGGGGCGATATTATAGGGGACTAGATAGGGGAGTATTATAGGGTTATGACCGGGGGACGCTCGGAGTTTAGACTATAGCTCATTTAAGGGGAAGTGCGGGGAGTTTTGCATTTAGTTTGGTTTTTGTAGAGGGCTAAGTGATTACCGATGTTGTGGTCCTAGGTTCCTTGTATAGTCATGGTATAGTACCTGGTATAGCGTACCTCAAACAGACCTCAAATTGATGTTGGTATTTTGTTTAGGCATGCTCCTACAGTACTTGTACTTGTTCATGTATTCGTAGCTAGGATGAGGCCAGTCATGTAGGAGTCTCATGAAGATGGCGATGGTCTTCCGAGCCATCTCGTGGTGAATTGAAGGACTCAAGGCACAGAGACATGTCAGGTGTACCCATGAGTGTGGATTTTCTTGGGCGGTTCGTGATGCTCAACATCCCATCCGCTGCAGCACCCTGCACCCTGCACTCTTTTTCTCTTGGTGGCTCAGTTCTCATCCTGGGAGAGCGCGAGTTCTTGTGCACTCAAGGGTGGCTGGAGCCGGGATAGCTTGGATTCGGGTAATACGGGAGAACCACATGGAAAGCAGTAGGAGAGTGAAATGGAACCTGCTATTATGATCCCTAAGCCCTAAACCCCAAGGATTGCTGGGTTAGGTCAGGGAGCGGCGGCAGGGCCTTTCACTGCCTCATGCTGGACTTGCCCCAAGCCTTAAAACATCCTATACACTCCTTCATATTCCTGCTTGAACGATATAGTACATATCCCATTTTATATCTTTGCAAAATCCTCTATCTACCTCGTCTATTTATATGTCTATACATAGACACATACCCAACTAGCCCGATACCCTAAATGCCCAACTCCGCCAACCCCTAGACCCATCCTGGAGGTTTCGTTCTGATTGTGGACATGGACGGGTGCTTTGGCTGCAACTTTCTGAGGGTATGTTACGATGGTTGTTTCAGGTTTTAGGGTTTTTTAGGGGTTTTGGGTTTTAAGGTTTGGGGTCTTAGGGTTTTAGGTTTTAGGGGGTTTTGGCTTTACCAAGTTTATTGTGACTCTTTGTGTTGCCGTTGTTGTTATTACCGTTGTTGTTCGTATCACGGCTATTACTGCTTTTATGACTCATAGAGACTTTCTGCAGCCCAGATTTGGGTACACACGCCGACATGTGCACCAAGTCCCTATAGAGACAAACGATTGTCAAACGCATCTTTTCCGCTTCCCTTTGGCAAAATATCCCCGCAGCTTCTGGGGGTCTGTGTGCATTCCCTCAGTTTTCACATGCGTGGAACAAATCGCAGGCCTGCAGCCAAAAAGCCTAGCACCTTGACTTAATCCTCCACTCAGTATTGGGTACCACGAGGGACTATTGTAGGTATACCAAGGACTTATTAACCCCACATTAGGGCTACTACTGTAGTAGGAATTGACCTAACTAGGACCTACAAGAGTAGTGGTTAGAGCCGAAGAGCAGCGACCAAAAGTCGAAAATAACCCCTATACAGTCCCTGTATGCCGTATATAACCCATTAGAGACCATTAGAGTAGTTTCCATTTTCTTTTCCGTTCTCCCTATGTATCCCGTATATAACCCCGTCTCGAGGATGGGTGCCTGGCATATGTCGCCACGTCTGGTGAAAGCCTTTGCTGCTGTCAGCCGGAACCTTGTCCAAAGGTACGATATTATAGTATTTGAGTACATTATAGTACATTGTCGTATATTTCACTGTATTATACTAAAATATGCTGTGCCATATGATAGTTTATTATACTGTATCTATTATAGTATAGTGAAGTATATATTAGTATATTATAAGAGATTGTGCTATATTGTGCTATATCTTATTAGATTCTGGTCCGTCCTCGCGGTCCACGTCATCGTCTGCAAGTTCCCTTATATTAAATACTGTTATACTATAATATACTCTCACTGAGTCGTGAACTTCAGCGTCCGAGTGTTTTCTTGAGTCTAAAGCAAACGTATAACTCATGTTACATTTTGTGGTACCTGTTACTGTAAGGGGGAATGACCCAACATAAAGTTGTCGTTTGTGTTTTCGTGTGCTTGTTTCAGGCTTTAACTGGGCTTGTCGTGGCTGTGCGGTTTAGGGTTTTGAATTTAGGCTTTAAATGTGCAGTCGCTTAAGTCCGGGTTGAAAAAAGGTTTAAATGTGTAATGACACCCCGCAGGCATCCCATACGAAGGCCAAACTCACCCAGAGCTTTCAATCAAAGCACGTATGCAATCAGGAGAGGACGTGCTGCTAACGGCAGTCCAACATTAGGAAGTTTTACTTCTAGGGCCTATTTGAATAATAGCAAGAATGCTACTATTACTAATACTACTAATACTACTTATAATATTAAGACTACCAATACTACTAATAGTGACGTGATACTGAGAATAGTTTACTTCGACTTTGAGGGGCGCCCCGGTTTTCAGAGCCTCCACCCATGTTTGCAGACACTTCCACCATGAACCATGAGGATCGATGAGGCACACTATCCGGACACGGTTGCGCCTGGATCCTGCTCTGGGTGTTTTACACTTAGCAACCTCCACACTGGAAAATATTGAATCATGGTGCTAGACTGCTCGAGGGAAGTTTGAATAGGGTTTGGGGACTCCGGCATGCTAGTTGGCAAGGACTATTGTCATTTTGAAGAAGGTTGAACCGCGTTTCCCTGCATTTGCCATCTTATGAGTTTTATGAACATCACCTCGTTAAGTGGTGAAAATGGGTTCGCAATACCTCCAAAGTGATGTTAGAAAAGGGCATGTAGGGAACCATGCAAAACCCAGGCGCATATTTTCGTGGTGAATGCGCCCTGGATCTTTCAGGCACTGCCCCCTGGCTGCTTGCTAGTTGACCCCTTTGGATTGTCGCCCTCGCAGTTCACCCTGAAGACGCTGAGTGAACAGAAACAGGATCTTCAGTGTTGCCTCGGAAGACAATGGTTCTTAGTCTTAGTAGGGAATAAGGGCATATGCTCCCTAAACAGTCCCTATAGAATTTCATATACTCCGATATTTCCTACTTAGCCCCAGTTGGTTGGAAGGGCCTGAATTACTGAGTTTGGGCGTCAGGGATCGGATGTATTTGGAGTTTCGGGTGCTTCCAGCAAACTGCGGCTACAAGGCTTTCTGGTGAGCATATCATTCTCACCAGTGTTACACACATTACTTGCAGAAGCATGGCATTCAGGGCCTTAAGGGGTTGGGGCAGTCAAGGCTCGGATAGAGTTAGCATGAACCAGGATGAGGTTTCTACGTCAGTCATTAGGCTTTATAAGGACAAGGGACGGGCGCACAAATGATGTTTGTCTCTTGGGCGATGAATGTTTAAGCAAGTTGGAATTTGAGGTTTGTGCTGATTCGACCGTTCCTGTGCCTGGGCATTGCTTCATTCGCTTCTTAAAAGCCTGGAGGCGGTTTGGGTTTGAGGTATTTTTGAAAGCCATAACCTCACAAGGCTCTTGCGATACGAAGTGCCTAGTGCAAGGTTTATTTCAAAAGGTTTAGGGATTCTTTTAAAGGGTTTAGGGTTGCCGGTTTACTTTCAAGGAGTTTTTGCCTAGAGATCTGGGTTTCAAAGGGGTTTTGGTTTCCATGTGAAGCAGCGCAATCCTTTTGGATATGTGGGGTTGCCCTGAAGGTCCTTTTGAAGGAGAGAGCGTTGGGAACACACTTCCCCAAAAGGAGTCCTAGCCACAAAGGGAACCTGCATTATGGCCATTTTTGGGACAGGTATTTACAGCCCTAAACCCTAAACCCTAACCAGCTCAAGGAGGATCTTCCTGGTCCATGCTTTGGGCATGTCTTGACCTGATCGCTGGAGCCTTCCCCGGGTAGAGAGGTCATATGGGGCATGTTGGGCATACACTGCATGCACTTACAAGTCCAGTATCTGCATCCTATCTACAGAAGGACTGTAAGCTTCTCTGCCCGCTGAAGTGCGAGAAGAATTTTCTGCCTTGAAAGCAGCATTGGGGACCCTTGCTTGGGGCTGCAGATTCATGGTACTTTCGGAGGCACCGTGAAATATTGAGTGACGCTAGTGACGCCTTTCTTGTGAGCTGGCCAGTTCGTCATCGTTGTCTCCACCTTGAGCTTAGTTTTTTCTGAGCACGGAAGGAAGGACTGGAAAAGCCTTTTTATAGTTTTGGGGTTACTATAGCAATCCATTCCTGATTCCCTATTATCAACCAGCCCAAACCCTAACTTGGTCAAGGAACGAAGACACGCTGACAAAGATTCACTTCAGCTCCGAGGTTCCTGATCACACACTTGTTTCTTCGCTTTTAGGGCATTGGGGTGATAGGGTTTAGGGGGTTTAGGCTTTGAGGGTTTAAGGTTTAGGTTTTGAGGTTTGAGGTTTTAGGGGTTTGGGGTTTCAGGGCTGTGTGGGCTTTGGGGTCAGACTTTTCGGGGGTATTCACGCAGCAGGAATCTTCCAGAGACATGGGACCCCATGCATATGTACCCGCTTGGAGATAACTTCTAGTTTTTATAGGCTTCCTTTCGGTGTTCAATGTTTGAGGTGGAACTGAGCGAGCCGTTTCGATATCACTGTCGACGGATAAACAGACAAAATTCAGCAGGCGAGGCGAAACCTGAAACCATTCGGCACGCCAGGCCTTTAGGCTTAATCCATACTTTAAGCTTTCGCTCAGTAAGTGGCATGGGGCAAAGCCATTTGCCGCACATGTGTCTAGTTTGGGTCAGGCCCAACAGATATCGGGGTAAAAAAATGGAGAGGGACATTCATATTACTACCAGTATCCTTGGCGCCCCTCCACGTAACCCTAAACCCTATAAACCCCTACATAACCCCAGTTTCCATATCATTTTCCATTTTTGCTTTTCCATTTGACTGTCCATTATTGGGTATCATAACAGCCCCATACCCAAGGAAACTGAAGTCCTAACCCACTACGGAGCTTTTTTTCTCAGCACTTCCTTGGAACAAGAGGTCCCGGATGAGCTTTTGTGGCACCTCGGGGCGGACCGCGGTGCACATGGAAATGTAGAATGCCCTTGGCTCTCACGAGCCTGCTGATGCCTTCAGGCGTATGGGGCTGTTGTGTTGGTATTACTAACGATGCATGCATCGTATATCACATGTAACCTCAAATAAGCTTCTTTTAGCAAGGACCGGTAAGCTTCTGTATACGAGCTAAACTTTGAACCCTTAACCCAACAAACCCTAAACTCTAAGTTCTAACATTTGCTCGGAGAAGCATCCTAAACCCATCAACTAAGGGCGCCCTTTGAAGTTCTTCTTTGTTACTTAGGCCCTCAGAGTGTAGGTTTGAAAAGGTGAAAGTGGTTTCATAGGTTTACACACCACTCCCCCACAATCTCCTTTAATCAGGCGTATGTAGGGTTAATTACGCGGCTACTTAAAGGGTGGTGGTGAAAAGAGGCCATACTTCTATCAGCATGTAGTCATCTCAGCCAAGTTTAGTACGGTGTAGGGTTCAGGGGATAGGGTTCGGGGTTTAGATTTCATGGTGCAGAGTGCATTTGCTAGGTTTCTTATCTTATTGCAACCTTGAGAGAACAACTCTCATAGCTTGTGTGGCGGCTGTCGTGCTCGAGTCCGTTTGTGAGAGAGAGAGAGAGCGGGAGAGGGAGAGAGAGAGAGGGTATGCACTCTCAAGCCGTAGCTGCCAAGGGCCTTGCCATCCGCCTGTGTAAAGTTGGAACTATGGGCTCTAGTCACTAGTCTGGGCCCTTGATCCCGGGGCTTGAATACTCTTACCTTTGGTTAGCTGGGAATGAAGGAATGGGAAAGAAACTGGAAGACTATGGGTTATATAGGACTATTATAAGGATCCATTCCGTCATTCCTAGCTATTCAAAGGAAAGTACTTTCATTCATGTCTGCAAACCTAATCAGGGGGACCCAGTAAGCAGGTCAGCCCATGTTAGGGTCCCGTGGTTGGCTTAGACATTGCACGCTTCCTTGACAAGTGCTACGGTAAGATTTGACTTCCGCAGGGCAGGGTTTTTGTTTTGTGTTAGGTTAGTAAGTGCCCTCAGCAAAGTCGCATCTGCTGCCTGACTGCCTGATTGCGTGAGGACTGTTTGCCTACAGAGCTCGGTGGATCGCGAACCCTGGCAGATTTCAGACCTACATAGGCAAGCACTTGAACTATAAGCAGGTTATGACCCACCTATACCAGTTCATAGTTACCTTCATAGGCATCACTCAAAGACATGCTACATGGAGAACACAGAATCATGGATCTCACACAATTACGCGCTCGTCTGAGCAATGGAATATGTTGCCAAAAACGGAGCATCGGCATGGCCGTGGCCTTCAGGAGGTCAGGGTGGTCCTCTGCAACATATTATGTTTCTGTCCTGACTAGAACCCAGTGGTTGCCAACTAATGTGGAGTATTCTCGTTTGCCTTTGCCTGTAACCCAAAACTAACCACCTGAACCCTAAACCCTAAACCCCTAAGTCCCTAAATAGTAGTTTCGATTTTCTTTTCCATTATCCCTATATAATTGTAGATTGACTCCGGAATCCAGGTGCTGAAGTTTTCCCGTATGCTTTGGATGCACTGCCGTCACGGCATCCTGAGCTCTCGCCGTAGCTTTTGGGCAGCCGTGCTTCTGAGAGTGCAAAAGGGCGGGCAGTTGTCAATGCCAGGGGTTGCGAAGGAACATCTTGAGAATAAGGAAAGGATTTTTAGAAGCAATCAGACCATACATACTTGTATGCGCATCATATTTGTGTGTATGTAATCCCTTGGGAACACACAGCGTAGGCCGAAGGATGGCGTGTTCCAGGGAGGATCCGAAGTATTCTGCAGCAGTGTCGGGGCTTTGTCAAATTGTGGGATTCCAGGACGTTTGGGAGTTGCTGGGTCTCACAGGAGAACGCGGGATGTTCATCAAATTTAAGTTTCTCTGTCGGGATTCAAGTGCTGAGCTTTTTCACATCTTGGAGGCGATTTGAAGACGCAGGCACTTCTTACCTTTTTCTTCAGGAGTGTAAGGGCATCTAAAGGATAGGGCCAGAGTTTTCCATGTGTTTTTTCTCCCTAATTCTTGGCTTCCTCCCGAGCCGTTGCACCCACCATTCTACACCTTCCCAAACTCACAGCTCTAAATAGGAGAATGTAGATGCTTCTCAAAAAGCGAAACCTACATTATCACTACAATCTCAGGTTACAAGTATGTCCCCTTAACATGGGCCTTTAAGCCGTTCAAGGGGATTCTTAGGACCCTTGAGGATATATATATATATAACAATTTTTATATTTATATATGTATAGTATACAGTAGGTACTTAAGGATCCCAGGGTTAAGGGCCCATACTATTGGCCCATGGTTTCAACTTTATACAAACGGAACCCTAAACCCTAAACCCTAAACCCTGGACCCTAAACCCTAAACCCTAAACCCTAAACCGAGAAGCTCTAAGTCCTCAATCGCTCATGCTGCAGGCTGGACAGCATGATGGGTGCCAGCGACCCAATCGCTGCAAGGGTTTGGGGTTTAGGGTTTTGGGGGTTAGGGTCTAATAGGTTTTGGGATCCGTAGGGAGTAACTGTGGGGCTTCTTCGACATAGGGGGACTCTAGAGACTCCAGGGGTTTGCAGTGGTTCTACTAGGATGATGCGGGTTAGATTTGGGGAGTACATAGGAGTTATGTTGATGAGCATGTAGGGAAAGGTTTTCTGTCAGGGGTTGTAGCTTGGGATTCCTATCAGGCGTATGATGGCGTATGGCCATCGTATGATCTCGCTGGAATCTATATTTGGAGGGTCAGGAGACTCCTTAAGCAGGTTAAGAATAGGTCCTTTTGGGTTTAGTGTAGGGACAACTCTGGTAGTGAAATGGTTGATCGGGATTAGAAGTATACTTACCCAGTCCGCCTCATCTTAAAACCAAAGCCCTACCTACTTGTACTTATTTCGTCCCCGCCCTCCAAGCAGGGATTCAGGGGTTCGCGGGTGCGTGGACGCACATTTTCACCTCCGAACATGAAACAGCCCCACCAAAGGATATCTTAATATATTATGGGAATATACAGAGTCAGGGGGATGGGGGCGTTTTATTTCGGTGATGCTATTGGGGACCAACAGGCTAGATTACCTCCTTGTTTCCCTACACTGCTGGACGGAGAACAGAGTGTGCGCTGAACCTGGATGACGCCAATTGTAGGATGCGCTTCGTACCAGCACGTAATATGAAATGTTCTCATTATAGTATCTTATGAACTTCTTGAAATATTTCGCTTTCGTGTTGGTTGGGGTGTCAAATAGTAGGGGGAGGGGATTGGGATGGTCAGACAAATGACATTCCCCTGTGGATTCATATGTCGATCATGAAGGACGTGTTCCTTTTTTCATTCTTGACTCTGCTATTCACGCTTCCGATCTGCTTTGTCATCTGCCCAGACGCAAGTCCGACAGGTCACCATGGTCCGTTCGCAGCCAAGAAGCTGAGCATTAGGAACTTCGCATGCAATACTTGGATCATGGTAGCCGCTACATGCCGCTACTCATTCCTTGCAGGCCGGGTGTGCCGCATGTGCGCATAACACTTGTGTTCATACTCACACATATTCTCCTGAGAAAAAACCTGACAAAGATGGGCGCTGCATTCATGCCGGCAAAACCTGCAGCTTCCCCCTGCACGTTGGCAGATTCGTCACGCCCCTCGAGCATTGAAGTGTCTCCAACAGCACGCCAACAAGGGAATCGTCGGAACCACGTTATGCTGTCTGGCCGCTTCACATCTAAGGACCTTGCCTCTGATCCTTTAAGCCAAAATTCCTTGAAGATGCAGTAGCGCTGGTAGTAACCTGGTAACACGCATTAATGCACTTTTTGCGACTGGGGTTCCTACACAGGCAATGAGACCCTGGAAGGACAAAATCAACTACTTCAAGGCTTTGGAGCAGAACCTCCGCGAAATGGGACTCAGGACCAGAATGGTAACAGTAATAATAAGAGCCGTAATCGTCATAGTACTATTAAGAGTAATAATTGATAATAGTAATCATAGTAGTAATAGTAATAATTGTAATTCTGGAAATGATAGTAATGATTGTGATCATCGTAATAATAGAGGACCTTCCTCGTGAACACAAAGAACGATTTTGGGTACGAGACTAGGCGAGGTCTTTGCGGCGCGCGAGTTCTGGTAGCCTTGTGCACATCAGCTTATGGTGAAAAGACAGCCGGCACCTATGAGACGTATGAAGAGCTACTCTATGCCAGAGAACATCCGGATGAGATGACGATTGTCCCCGTGCAGCTGTGTCGGGTATGGCCGCCCGAGCCTCCAGGACCCCAAGAAGGCAGAGATCTATGTGACTTCGTGTTTCGCAGCTGTAAGGTTGCAATCAATGGCGTGGTGCCAAGCGAAGATGGCACACTGTTCTACATGGACGCGGAAAACTTGGCCTGTCAGATATATGGCCACATTGAAGGTTTGAAGTTGCTTGAGAGTGTCAGCTATAGCGATGGCGGACAGAGTCCAAATCAAGATTTCTTCAACCTGCCAGGAGTGCACGAGAACGCTGGCCTCCCACACTCATCTGGGCAGCGCCCGCTGAAGCTGCCATGTGCAGGGAAGGGGAGCTTCACAGCCTCGCGGACATGTATACCGGTCACGCCTGCGGCAGATCTTCCATTGGCATTGCCAACAGTGATTTCTGATGTGGCGGGCAAGCAACGGTACAAGCCCGAACTGGTCTGGAGGCATGGCGATGTTGGTTTGTTCTCGTCGACGAGCTGCTTGCAAGGCACTGTCGCCCTCAGGGAGGGTGCGCCATTGCTGCCACCCGGAGATTCTTCAAAAGCTACATGGCGCACAACAATAGTATGCTGTGAGAGCTTATTGCATGCCCTGGGCAAAAAGGCCCTGCTTTTCTGCGAATGGTAAACACAGGCCAGCACGTGCTACGCAGCTTTGTCTCGATTTCATCATGCAGGTAAGCCTGAAGGTGTAATGTAATGTAATGCAATGTAATGTGGTGCCTTTTTTTGCCACAGGGTGGCGGCTGCGAATATGTGAGCCTTTGCGAATTTGTGCACCTATCCCGCAGGGGAGGGTGCGAAACACACGTTCCCAATCATGAGCTTGTTGAAGCCATTGGTTTGCCGATAAGATTTTGAGCAGCTTATCATGTTTCGGGCAAACCTGTTCTTGTTGTACAGCGAAGATACATGCCAGGCCATCTGGCGCCCGCCGCAATATCTGCTAGCGGTCCAGGCTACCTCTGGGTATTTTTTAATCTGGCATGACAAGCCATGCCGAAGAGACGCTGTCCCGCCAAAACGGGACAGTGCGGACCTTGTGCGATTTGAAGGCTTTTATTGCTACCCTTGGCAGGGGAGCAAACCACACACGCCGGGCAAGATTCCGTGTGTGTTGTACCACGAAGCATGCGCTCTAGGCCACCTGATGTCATAGGCCTGTTTATCTCCCATGGCGCAGTTGCCGCATGATTGTGCGACATTTACCTGTCTTATCTGTCATACAGCACTCAGTGGTGGCCGTGATCATGTTCCAATTTGTGCATGTAGAGGATGCCCTATTTATCAGCGTCCAGCCAGCCTAGCAAGTTTCCATGCACAGAAAGCTGGGTTCCTTTGGAAAAAGCGCTGGAGAAGCACGTCCCAAATCTTATGGCTACCCTCTTTCGGCATTTCTACTCGCGTGCCCGCTTTGCACTAGTGTAGACCCCTTATTAATAATCCCCCTCCTTTTAGGGGCCTTGGTCTACAGTAGCCAGCTTTCGTTTTTGACTGCTAGCCATCCTGCTCGTTCGGCTGAGGGTGGCGGAATGTCCTATGCCAACAATGCGGGAATGCAGGCATTGCCCGGGTCTTTTTAAGGGCCATTATAGTGATGGCCAATGCTGCATGATTTTCAGATCACTATTCTAGATTGTATTCAAGGAGCTTAAAGTGGGTTACCAGAAAAGGGCGTGGTTGTTGGCGTTGTCTACGCAACGCTCTGCTTGAGCTGGGGTCTTGTGGATACCCATTTCAACACAACCATGACAACTGGCATTTACTAGCTGTACTTCGAAAAGCAAAGAAGCATGATATAAATGACAGAAGGGCAACAGTTTATCACAATGATTGTTGTAATTACTGCTACTTTTACTATTACTACTAATATTATCATCAATAATTATTAGTACCATTAGTAATAATTGTAATAATAGTAATAGTAATAAGAGTAATAACAGTAATAAAGCAATAGCAGTAATAATAGGAATAATAGTGGGGATGCTAGCAACTGTTTGCCGCACCGGCAATAGGCACGTGGCTTCAGAAGAAATAGCAATAGTAATAGCAGTGATAATAGCAATAACTGGAGCCATGCGTGTTCAGCAGCAATAAAGTCGCAGGATCAGAAACAGTATCAGTGAATCTTGCAGTAAGAGTACTTGTAAGAGTCGCTTCTCTAATATTGGCAGAAGTAACAATAGTAGTCGCAGCTGTACGCCAGTCAGCAGTGCTCAACTGTCAGGGCAATCGCAATCAGATGGACGCTATGCGTGGCCTGCACCTCAGAGGGTCCAAGCATTTATACAAACATGTAAGTGATTCCCGTCTTGAGGGATAGT